AAGAAGAAGAAGAAGAAGAAGAAGAAGAAGAAGAAGAAGAAGAAGAAGAAGAAAGAAGAAGATGAAGAAGAAGAAGAAGAAGAAGAAGAAGAAAAAACAAAACAACAACAGCAACAACAACAAGTAGACTGATGCATAGATAGATCAGAGTCTATCACAAAGCCTGTGACTATATTACTATTTGTCTACGTATTTTTCACTCGTTCTGAACTTTTTGGGGTATAGATATTCTCTTGTGTCTCCATCTAAGGTTCTGGTATCTTGTACACAAGCCGTAAGTACTTGTATTTTTCTCAGATTTTACTCATGATTTAGATACACTAGATGCTTGCCTAGTGAGATGTGAAGATCGTGATGGTGATCCTATTTTTCTTTTGAAGATATATTTTGATGTTGTATTCATAATATGTTTTTCCCCTGGGTTGTATGCGAATTTTGTTTGGTTGTTGTAATTGTTTTGGCTGCTCTTTACGGCGGGGCTTTTGTTTGTTTGTTTTTTAAGGATGTTTTGATTTTTGATTTGTTTTTTTTAGCTAGAAATTGCTATGTCCATGTTGACGTTGTCAGTAAATTACAATTCTCTATTCTTACCATAATTTACTAAAACAATGTTGTCCACTAACGTAATGAGAAAAGAACAACAACAACAAAAAAAACAACAAAAAACAAAAACAAACAACCGCAACAAAAACCCAACAAAAAATAAACATCTAATGAACAAATCTGTGAAACATATCTTAACAATACTCTTGACGGCCAGAACTTCGAGGACAGTGACTTTTACTGGTGCTGCCTTACGAGCTACTTTGGGAACGTGATCACAGAGGATAACTCAACGGGACTGGTCCCCACAAGCCTGCCAGTGGCTCTACACGGGGCGCTGCCGTTCGAATCCTGGCTGGGACTGGCCCGAAGAAAGGCACAGACCGTCCTAGATGTTATACAAGTGCAGGCTTGGAAGCAGTTCTTGATCCTGTATGAGTTTGATTTTGGTAAGACCTAGTGAATCTTATTTGTAACATACTGGTAAGAACTTCTTTTGATTGAGTTTATTTATACAGAGATAAAGAGAAAGAGATAGATAGTAACGAGGGAGAGAGAGAGAGAGAGAGTGAGAGAGAGAGAGAGAGAGAGAGAGAGAGAGAGAGAGAGAGAGAGAGAGATAAAGAGATAGAGATAAAGAGAAAGACAGACGTCCCATGACGTCGAATGAGTGGGTTCTTTTACATCCCACCATTCCAATCAGCATTTTGTTTATTTGTTAAAAAAAATACCACACCTCATTTTGATTCTCTTTTTCAGAGGAGCAAGTGCGAGTGATGGCGGACATGGCCTCCAGACTGTTCCTCAAAGTGCAGCTGTGCAACACGGCAGACACGGAGCTGCTGCAGAAGAACATTCTACAATACTTTGAGACATCTGTCGACTTCCAAGCTGTGCTCATCACCTCGTACAGCACGGCACAGGACATACTCAGAATGGTACGATGGGCCATCCTATCCCATAACCATATTGGTGATCAAAGATCGTGTATACCAAGATGTTTCAATTGCCTTATCTCGGCTCCACGCGAGACTCGAGCGCACCCTTGTGTTAGCGCGTGAAGGCCAGTGATACGAGCGTAAACAAACGTTCCACCGCTCTTGAGTTGAACGCATGCAATTTTGTCTGCGGCAGTTAGAGGGAAAGGGAGAGGGAGAGGGAGAGAGAGAAAAAAAAAAAAGAGAGAGAGAGAGAGAGAGAGAGAGAGAGAGAGAGAGAGAGAGAGAAGGGGAAGGAGAAAGAGGGTGGGAGAGAGCGAGAGAGAGAAGTGGGTGGACAAAAAGGGAGA